TGTTGAATTAGTAGGTTTTTTAAAAAAATTTTACCATATTAATATGGTTTTCAGAAATTTTAAAAAATATCACATGTCCCATGCCATTTTACAAAAATGTCATGATTTAGAAAAGTTTGCAAGCGTGCCATCACTTTTACATCATATTCCTAAAATACCCTTTGACTTAATTTACCCTAATAACATTGTGCGATCTCACCGTCGTAGATCTTGTTGTCGCTAATATCGGAGGAATTCGACCATCTCGGTATCAGAATCTAGCACAAGGTTTCTGTGTGCTATATGGATCCCGAAACCCTTGACGACGACGGTGGTGATGATTTCTATATAGAGGCGGAATTGAAAGATATCAAAGCGAAGACGACGGAGGAGTTTAACGAGGAAGACGACGGAGGAGCTTTCTGAGCAACTATACTGTTATCCGATATCCGATATTCTTTCCCTATTTGATTTTACGTAACTAAATATTACCCGAATAGCAATCTTGAGTCGTGCGTGTTTGTGTACTTTTAATCTAATAGATTTATATTTTGTTTAATAGCTAAACTTAGATCAACAAGGAACCAATGTTACATTTAGAATGGATGGTTCGGGTAATGGACATTGAATCGGTAGATCATTGTCCAAAGGCTCAACTGGATGTTCCACTGGTTTGAATTCGGTAGCTACTTCAATCCCATGACTTGCAGTTGTTGTTCCAGTGTTGGTAGTTGTTGCAGTAACATCAGGTTTTGGAGCTAATACTTCCTTATCATSCTGAACACAAAGTGKAAAAGAAACAATTTTTCAATAACTTTAGATTAATCTAACAAAAACCCCATTCATAGAGTTGAAAAAAGACCAAAMCTTTTAAGACATAATAATCATTAACACAAACAAAACTCACCCTTTTGGTCYGAATTGAAAAACTAAACGATTTSAYGCATCTATATAGTTTTMTAWTGGAAAATCCAATTTTGGGGATTTCAAARCKGAGCTAAAGGTGAGATTTTTACACAGTTTTGAACCAAACAAAGATCTAAACATGTTCCATAGATTCAAAATCAAGAACCCAGAAGCTCTAAGAAGAAGAAAAGCTTACGATTGCACTCTGTGTTCTTCGATGGCTGCTTCTACCAACAGAGAATCTGGAGAAAATACCAACCATAGTTTTGATTGAATCTGAAATCTTCTTAGGATCTTGACTTTGGATTTTCAACTTCAAGAGTTTCTATATATTCTCCA